GATCTTCATGTGAGGGTCTTGCCATGGCATGCAAATCAGGCTCAAAAAGAGTGTCCATGTGTCATTTAGCCTGTCATGTCATCCAAGAGGTACCAATCTTCTTGTGAGAGCACCAGTGTGGTCCAGCTATCTGGAGCAGAATTCAGTTCCAGGGTGCATTAGAGACTCCTTTGATGTCATTTAGCCTTTGGTACATGTCATCCAAGAGGTACCAATCTTCTTGTGAGAGCACCAGTGTGGTCCAGCTATCTGGAGCAGAATTCAGTTCCAGGGTGCATTAGAGACTCCTTTGTGAAGCTTCTGTGAAACATGTTTCAATAATTTTGGACAATTGAACTAGATATTGTATCAAAATAAAATTCTCTGTCTAGTATCTTGCTATCTACTCTTCCTATTGTCAAATTGATTTTTGCCTGTAAAGGGCAGTTATTGGTACACACATATCCCCAAGTATTCAGACATCCTGCTTGTTGATTACAGACGGTTCCAAATCAAAGCCTCAGATTACCAAACCTTGATATTTCAGATAGATTTAGACAAAAAAAAGAACAGAAAACTTGATTCCATCAAAGTAATAGATTATGAGATTAGTTATAATACAAAATTTATTCTTCATGAGTACCATTTTCCATTCTCAGTCAATTTTCCAGAAGTCCTGCTACTGGATGAATGACTCAGACCTTTAGACCTGACAAGCATGGCCTGTATGAGCAGATGGTACAAATTAAGGAAGTTGTGCTCTGTTATTTCAGCCGAGAATCTGAAGTTCAAAATTTTGTCTGTTTTTCATATAGCTGTATTTGATATCAGGAGTCTAAATCAGTGAAAATAACAGCAAAACTTTTACTGGTGTAAGTGGAAGACTGAGATGGGCAAGACTTCCTCCAAACAGGCTCAATAGAAGTCATCTGTCACAAAAGTGACAAAAATTTTTAACATGCACATGGGCAAGATGAGACCTATAAGGCAAGAGCAAAGTAATGGGTGATTCTAATTCTGCTTGGTAGAGCACTGCATGATCAAAACTTGCTTTAAATTTTAGGAAATTCTAACTTCCAATGGGGTGGTACAAAATATATCTATACTGTTAAGTGGATCAAGGCCTTAAGGTGTTAGTCATACTGATAAAGTTTTGTTACCCTTATGGTGATCTGTAGGAGAAAGAATGTTTGCCTGCAGAGGAGATAAGATAGTAAAATTGCTCTGCTCTTGTACTGCTGTGATCCGGTGGTCAGGAGCTATTTCCACCATAGAGAAATTCAGGTCCAACAAAAATCCTCTGGCAGTCTCAGCTAGTGACGTCATGACAGCTTCAGACAAAGCCTTTTGCTCGAGATAGGATATGAATTGAAACAATCTGGTAAAGAAAAACATTCAGTCAGTATTCAATAGAAGTGCAAGTCTAAAAGTCTCCCCCCACCAGACATATTTTAATGAATGCATAGTTACAGGGTGACTATGTTATCGCATAGTTTTCTTGTGTCATTAACTAAGAAGAGAGTTTTAAAAAAGTGCCCCCACAGAAATCTTATTCATATGTTTTATTATATGTTCCAGCATGGGCACCACTTTAGTTTAATGGTATGTTGGATGATGGTACAAATTTATAGCCAAAGGTTTACATCACAGACAGCTGGAATAACAATAAATTAATTTAAAGTGCTACAGAAGTGCTCCCCATAGTATGCAGTGCTTATATGCTCAAGACTAATAATTTATAAATGCACATCTTTTATAATACTGGTCTAAAGTCCTGAAAGCAGCTGGTTAAAAAGCAGTCACATGACATAATTATTTTTATTAATATTTCAAATGCATGATTAGGGTGGGCACCATGGTCATTAGCATTAGGCAGCTTTCGTTTATGATCAAGTGTGATGAAGCAATAGCCAGACAGAAACCAGCTAAGCAGTGGCAAACAACCTTTGGGAGTCCTGGGGAGCTCCTGCTGCTTCTTCCACGCGCTCTTTAGAAGCTAGTGATCATCACAGCTAAGGCTGTTTCCCTTCCTTTTGCTTCTCTGTTGTGTTTGTCACATTAGACACTCAGAAGGCTTGAAGAATAAAAAGAAGTGCTATGAGAGCAGCCAGAAGCAGCTGTGCATCTCTGCATGGCTTTCCTTCCATCCCCAAACACCAAATAGCAGCGGTGCAGAAGGCAGTGAGGGGCCCAGAGGGTGCTCTAATCCCTGCCCTCATTACACCAGCAGTGCTAATTTCAACACTGAGCAAATACTGAGCTTTCACACAAACTCCTACTTGGATGGGGTAGGTTACCTGAAAACATTTTACTTGCTTTGGGATGACACATTTTTGGTTCTGTGTCAGGGAATAAGAGAAAAGTGATGCCTCCAGGCAAACAAGTATTTGCAGTAAAGCATTGTAAAGGCTAAGAATCAGGGCAGGCCATAAGCTTTCCTTTTCGGGTACTGGACTATTTTTTTCCTGGTGTAACCCAACGTCTTTCTGCAGTCTTCTGTAGTGAAAGGGTACATTCACTATTACTAGTGAGGGTAAAAGAGAAACCAGCTCAAATAACTTGGGTAATGTTGCATCTTTTTCCCCAGTACAGCTCTCTGGCATACCTCACTGCAGGGGTGTCACTTGCCTTAATACCACCTTTAATTTCTCCAGGCAAATCTGGCTGCTTCTGACTTTTCTTGGTGAAAATAATTTACTTCTTAAATGCAGAGTTATTAATCTGAGATTATAGAAGGAGTTTTTCACACTGAAAGAAGGATCATGAATAATTTCTGTGTCTCTTCTTTTGGGCCATTGCCATATATTAGACTACATATTTGAGTCATGGCAGATTGAAAAAATATGCACCACAATCAATCCCATTCACTTTGGTAGTTCTTTAGCAAAGGAAGTGGAGTAGGACACAAAGTGGGCAGAAGTATCATCATGTGGTCCCTCCTCTCCCTCTTTTTAAAGAAAAGAAAGCTGTTTGTGCTACACAGAAATGAAGCTTCTAAGTAACAATGCCTGATTAACTTTTTTTTTAGTATCACAAACATTTGCAAGTTCATACTCTCTCCTCTTCCTTTCTGGCTTTCTTTGAAAGTACTTTGTAAAGTAACACATTTTTCCAGAGGTCAATGGGGACATATTTGCATTTTGATACACTTCAAATTTTTGCCTCCAGCACGCCACTCAAATGCGCTGTGCTAATCAGAAGGCAGTAATGATCTCCTACGTGCTTCAAGCGGGTGGCTGGGCATAGAAAAGCACCTCAAAATGCAAAATTCGTGAGACAGCAATACACAGCAAAGATAAATAAATACAAAAAAAGGGACGATGCTGGCAACAGCAGTCTGGATTTGTAAGCTGAGGGCTCTGCCTGAAATAAGCAGCTAATGCGTTTATGTGCACCACTGGAGTGATAAGGGGATTGGGGGGGCTCCTGCCTCAGCCAGCTGCACTGATGGACTGCAGGCTTCTCTGAGCAGATCACTTGTATGTCAATATACCCAGATGAGGCATAAGCATTTCTGAAGGCTTTTTATATTGTCAGTGATACCTCATGTTCTGAACAATCCAAATCCAAGATTAGGCAGTATCTAGGAAAATGGGGCAGCCCCAAAGCATGGGTGTAATCTGTGTGGAGGTCTTTTAGTTTTAGCAGTAATGATAGGTTTACAATCAAATTTGCCTGTTCAAAGTCAGGGGGTATATAAAACTATATGGGAGAGGAAAAAACCCCAGAACCCAAGAGATTATTTATTAAAAAAATAATTTAAAGCATGAATATCTTTGACAGACAGAGTCACAAGAAAACCTGAGCACTCCCCCAGTAACCACTGCATCAGGAGAAAAACTCCCGATAAGCAGATGTTGCTTAGGCAGCAATCAGCCAGGCAGAGTGTGTGTGTGTGTGTGTGTGTGTGTGGAGGGAGAGAGGGATGGAGAGAGAGCCAGGCAGACAGGTATTAAGGCACTGTGGTGAGTGTGGTGAGTGTGTGTGTGGCTGCAAAGGATGGCAATTTTTATGAGAAAATTACATATGAGCAAAACCAAGCTGCTCTGCTGACTATTTTATATGTATTTTTAAGGGAAAGCAGCAAGAAGAAACTAGGAGAGAGAGACTGAAAAGACAAGCAGGAATGACCAAGCAATTGCATGTCTGAGCTAACAGCAACATAAGGCAAGAAATCCAGGCATCAGGGAAATCATCTAAAGCCATATTGATTCGTTTTGGAGGTGAGAAAAAGCAGATGCACTCAGCTACTCTGGAATGGTTCTGACAGCAGCTACAGCTGCTTGATTTTACTTTTTTTTTTTTTTTTTTTTTTTTTTAAACGAGTTTCATTCACAGAAAGCTGGCACTGTAAACCAAAAGCAGCCTGCACCCCTCACTGCGTCACCTCTTCCCCAGCGATGGAGCTGCCATCAAAGCGTGCCCAGCCAGGCAGCACCTCCAGCCAGCCAACAGAACCCTCAGGCAACGCCAGAATGGAAGAGGGAGAAAGAGAGGGATGGGGGAGGGCAGCGGATCAATGGCTGAAATTCAGCAGCTCTGGCCATTTCCAGAGAGCTGGGAGTGTTTGGAGGCAGAGCAGGTTCTGAGCCCATCCATCTCCTCGGCAGACAGCAGCTCTTCCCCGGGAGCTCTGCCCGGGCCCGGCCCTCGGCAGCGCACAAAGCGAGAGAAGGATCCAGGACTGGGCACTGCTGGTCCTTGCATCCAGAAAATAGGAGGTGCACATGGCATGGGAAAATAAACGGGTTTAGTATTCTGTAGGAAATCCTGTGTGTTGGGGAATGAGGGTTTCTACATGGAAATACTCTACATGGTAACACTATCAGGTGTTGCCTGCACTGGTTCCAGTAAAGCAAGCACTGTGTCAGGTGGGCCTTTGCTCTTTAGATTTGCACTGATACCTTAATTCAGCTGGTCCTTTGTTTATCCAAAGATGTAATTATAGAATTCATACAGACATCATGGCTGAGATCTTCAAAATACTGCTTTTTTGGAAGGCAGATACCTGTGAAGGTCTGCTCTAGGTGACTTATCCTCAGTCACAGAGTGAACCTGATCCTCAGCCAAAGCTTCTGAGTCTTCCCCAGACTCCGATTTTTCTCACACAATCAGCTTATTCTCTGTGAAGTGTGGTTTCAGACCTATAAAATTCAGTTCAAACTGTGAGCATAGTTACAGCATGCAGTTCAAAACTTTAATTTTCTATTTAAAAAGAAACCAGACTCCATAACAGTGAGGGTAAGGGATGTCCAGGAAGGTTTCCTTAAGAATGAAAATAGTACTGTTTTATTCAGTATGAAATGAAATTTGGTGTGGTTTTATTATTTCTGGAATCAAAAATCTAGGTACTTTTCTGAATTAAACCGCAACTGCTCTCATAGCAACTCAGATACTGTCCCATCCTTCCTGTGTTCTACACCAAGAACCTCAAGTGTAACTAGATAGGGATGTGTACATGTGTGCTCACTGGCTTGGTCTCTCACAAACATCTGCTGAGGAGTACCTTATTTGTAAGAAATGTGAGTTTGGCATAAAAAAGGTCAGAAAATTTCTATCAGAATAATTTTCCTAAAGAAAACAGCTTTCAGGTAGATGGAATGCTTTATGACTATATAAAATTCCATTTTTCCATAGAAAATTGTATTCTGGTCAAAATTTAATATTCACTTCACTGAAGGTACATGAAAAAATAAGGAAACATTGTCCTAAGTGGCACTTATTCACATTTTTTACTGGCTGCACTGTGAAGTGTAAATCCAGAGTAACTTCCTCTGCCTCATTCAAGTTATTTTGACTTATCCTGTTGCAAATAAGTTTGAAATCTCAGTCTGGTTCTTGTGATTAATATCTTTACCTTCTAGGTTTATACATACAGAGAAAAATGTAAAAAAAACCCCAGTGCAATTCAAACCAAGAGTTTTAATGGATTCTGCATCAGGACTGTTGTAAAGAGTTCTACCTCCCAGAGGATTTGGTTTCAATACCAGTGGTTAGAATACGTCAGAATGTGTAAATTTATAATTAAAAGTAAAAACATACAAACAAGTACTTAAAATAATTTACAAATATATTTTTATCAGCAATAATTTGAAAATGATCAGTGTTACACAGAACACTGGCTCAATTTTAAAGGTTAGGTACATCTTCCACTAAATTAAACATACCTTAAAATATCTTTAGATCTGATGACTGAGTAGTTTAACAGCATTTTAGCAATACTGAAACATTCTTGTAAGTCTTTAGACTTATTTGTAGGCCAATATATTTTCTTTTTCACTTGCTAAAAAAAATTAATCATTTGCTTTAGATAAAGAAAGAAAAATTACCATGAGATGAGGTGTGTCTTGTCTTCAGGAAACCTCAGACCATTCCCACAGAAGCCAAACACTGGTACAAAGTCTTTGTATTACTGGAAGTACTTTACGATCTGGAGTATGAGGCAATGGTAGTTCCCTGCATGGATTCAAGTGGAGAAGTTAGTTATTAATATGCAAATGCTACTTTTTATTTTTAATTCAGCTGGTTTGCAGCAGGCCAGATCACTTCATCTAAAAGTATCAATTAAAATGATCATGAGTGCTGCACTGCTTCAGCGTGACAGGTATCACCTTGAGCAGGATCTCTTGTAATTGGCTTTTAATGCTTTTCCAAAGGAGTGCCAATTTTCTGCATCTAATAAATAACTAAGTTGGGGTAATTCTGTTCTCCAAGGCAAATATATAAAGTGAAGGAAACAGGATGAGAGCAAATTAATCCCCAGTGTAAACTCACTGACTCCAGTGGTATTACACTAGAAATACTTGCAGATTGGGGTTTCTTATGTAAAAACTGATGTGAATTGTGCCTAATAAGAAAGTACCTTAAATCATGCCTTGGGCAAAATAGCTCAGTTAATCCCAAAATGTTGTTGCAAGAAAATCCCTTCCTTTCCACAGTTTTCTAAGGGAGCTATAAGGCATGTTACATATCCAAGCTTTCCAAGGAATTTAAATAATTTATTTTCTTGATTCAGATCAGCCTAATATTTTTGTGAAGCATTTTATTGGCTAATTTTCATCTCTTTCCCCCTCCCAGCCACAAACCAAATAGATTTATAAGGTTACTTACTGCAAAACTTCACAGTTTTTCAGTCCGCTCTTGCATATATTACAGAAAATGCCAATTCTGCTTCCTCATCTCTAAGCCCCTAAAATAATCTGGGCCTCCTTTTAATTCTGCTTGTATGAAGTCAGGAAACATTTTCCTAGAGTTACATGAGCACTAAGTAACACAGTTGCACAGAAATTATTTTTTAAAATTCCACTGTATAATAAAACCAAAAGAAAATGAAGTGAAAATGGCCAGTGTAATGAAACATTGGCACTCAGTCAGAAGTTAGGTGCTGAGTTTTACTCTCATTCTCCTGCCCTACCCTTTCTAAAATACTATAAGAGAAAATAAACACTAAGATGACAATACTGAAATAAGCCCTAAAACATTTCAGAAAAAATCTCTGCTATGATTGTTTCCCTTTGTAATTGACATATACACTGGTAAATCTTTTTGACAAAATAATGTTTACAGGCAAAAAGGATTCTGTCAAAAAATTTTCAGCCAGCTTTCCAAAGGAACACTGCTGTGAAAAAGAAAATATCTTTCCCAATGCGTCTGTGTGGTGCAACTGTGCCCATTTGTGACTGATCCTCGAGCCCAAGAGTTTCAGGTTTGCCCCAGTGCTGTGTGATTTCTTTCTTTCCTACCGATTGCTTTCATTTCTGAAGATGGCAGCTTTCACATGACCAGAGCATGCTGCTCCCTATTCCCTTCTCAGCATTTTCACGTGCAAAACAGCAGCCACAGAAGGCCACTCTGCTTTGCTGGTGATGTGCTACACATCCGACCTGCTTGCAGTGCTGGCAGTCTGAAATATTGCTGAGTAGGGGCAGCAGGAGCTGGATCTTAATGATTTGCCCCCTCCCAATCATTTGGGTTCATTGATTTCTCTAATTAAATATGCGTTCCACTTCACCATTATTCCCAATGATCGCATTTAATCTCAACGACAGGGCCAGAGATACAAGAGCCTTTCCTTACAAACTGCTTTTGCAAGCCCTGCTGTTCTGTGGGGGCTCTTGGATGCCTCCAGGTATTTGTCCAGGGCTGTTTGGCTACATCCTCCTTTCCTCATTGAATTGTTTTCCCCTGTGTATTCAAGCCTCTCCTCCTTTCAGCTGAACCTTCCAGCTTTGCTGTAGAGGGCTGGGGCTGCAGTTCTGTCTGACAGTCGTGTATGTAAAGCTGATTTATTTGGCTGCTGTGGCTCTGTGCCAGGTAAGAGGCCGTCTGAATGGTGAAGCTGTTAGGAAACTAATTGCATGATGGACTGCAGTTACAGGAGAGTCTTCACTGTTTGCTTCATCTAATCACATTTGCTACCAAGGATGTTTCTTGTTTGCCCCTTTTCCACTGTATGAATTGGAAGAATACTAGGTTTACACAAGGGATGGGCTTGGCTGATTGGTTCCCAAGCCTGTATCACTATCTTGTCAGTCCCTTCATTTGTTAAAGAGACAAAAATACTGTCACTGCTGTGAGTGTTCCCTTGCTTGCTCAGACTGGGAGGCTTTGAACTTGCCAAGCTCTATGTTCAGCTCTTCAGCATTCTTGTTTGTTCTTCTTGTGCTGATGAAGTCACTAATCTCTAAATGAAGGGCAGGGAGCTGTTTGGGTTAGCAATTTCATCATCTTTAACAGAGAAAACAGAAAGCTTTGCAATACAGGTGGGTTAACAAGAAAAAGATTTCCCTCTATCTTGCTTCCAAATGTCTTTCTGAACAGTAAGCCTGAACTGAAACCTTGGGTTGCAAAATATCAGCCCATGGAAAGAGCAAAATCATGGAAGAACTCAGTGCCACCAAATCACCTTTATGTGGGCCATGCTCCATTTCCTTGCCAGCAAACATCCTCATTAGGCATTTAGATGACAGAAAAGCAGCCATACTGCTGCTTGCCTTCACTGTTTCTACTCTGGGAAGAAGTGTTGGTAAATGGTGGGCCTACTGATAAGCTAAGAGATTTCCACCCTCAAACCACAGCTCCCATGGGGCCAGTGCCAACCACTCCTCCCCAGTAGCACCAGATAGTTTGCACGGCAGCACTGATGCTGTTTCCATGCTGCTGGTGATCACAGTTTTCATTTGAGGGGTTTATGTTCATCGTCCTTATGGCTACCAGGTTCAAGTCAACATTGACTGCTACCAAACTAGAGAAACTTGAGGTGAAAACTCTGAGTTTCTGCTGATTCCAGCATAAAACTTTCTCCACAGCCAGCACCTGCCTCCTGGGAGATGCATGCTGAAGTTTGAGCCCAGACCACACACTGCCACAGGGGAATGGTGGCAAATGGCTTTATGCATATTTTGCAGACCTCTTATATGAAATAGCTTTAGAACACAGACTTATTTAAGCCACTTTCAGGTAACCTTCACCTGTTACATGTTTCAAACTGGACACGTATTACTCAGCTTTTCATTCTTAGCTAGTGTTACTCTACCTTTTCCTTTGCATAATTAATTAATCTGCTGGTCCTTTCTTTTTGAGGCCAAGGGAAAGTCTCCCATCAACTTCACTGAGCAATTTCAATTATCAGGGCAATTTCCTCCCCTCCTTCACGTTCTCAAAGACCAAAGGCATATTGGAAGGTGTGTGCTTGCAGCAGTCTAACTGAGCTCTAGGAGGTGTTCCCTCTCAAAGCCAAGAACTTCAAATGGGAGCTTGCACCCAGTGGCAACAGCCAGCAGGCAAAGGGAAATGACAGCCAGAGCTTAATGCAAAAAGTCTGTCTGACAACTTTGCTACATACCCTCAAAGAACTCAGAGAGAAACTCTTCTCAGCTGAAATCTTATTTACAACCCCTGGTGTTCTTTCTGCAAGAACAGAGTAATTTTTAAAGCAAGATTGGCTACAGCTTTCTCCATATTCTAAGGTAGCCACTAAGAACTTTGAGACAAGCGGAGTCTCAGAATCTCAGGATGTTGCAAATTTCTATCTAGTTCCCTCATTCATGAATTTCAGCCCAGGCTTGAGGAAGTCCAGCCAATAGATCACCTTAGATCTTCCCCATACACTTCCTCATGTAGGAATCTGCAAACCTAGTCAAGCCCCAGGAAGTCACCCTTCCTTTGCAGGGCCACACTTCTCAGCAATAAGGGGCAGGATGACTCTGGAAACAGAAACATTCACAAAACAAGATAGCTTTGCAGAACTTTTCAGAACTTGGACTTCTGAATAGGAAAGGTTTGGGGAATTAGGGTTTCTGGGGAAAGTGGAAAAAAGGAAATAATTAAAACAGGATGATGAGTAGAGACTTACTTTGATATACCCAATCATAAATTTTAGCAGAGAAGCAGAGTCTGGTTGTCCTTGTGATACAGCACATCAATAAGCCAGGACTGCTCTGTGATATTCTGTACAAACTAGACTTTATTTGTCTCTCCTTGCCCTGAATTTTTCAATTCAAAGAGAGACTGCAGATTTGATAAGCAGGAAAACTACAAGGAAAAGCTAGATCAAGATGAAACATATATGCTGCCTGGTCAGATGATGGTAAGAGAAGATGTAGGCTTTGTGGAGCCTGAGGACATTCAGAACGTTGTAGAAACACTGCAGAAAAGAACCAGTAGCCATGCTACTGCACTGGTGGCAGCTTTGAAAAGATCAGGTTACTCTAGCAGATTTCTTTTACACAGTGAGTACCAGCAGTACCAAATGTATGCATGTACAGAAACCCATTTTCTATCTGTTCTTTCGTGCATCTCCCTCTAAGCCCTCGCATAGTTTGAGCTGCACATCCTCCTCACACACCACACTCCCCCAAAAGATTAGCCGTGCTTATCTCGTGTGTGCCCGGGGAGCATGCGCAGTGTGCCTGGGCAGGGAGTTCTTGGCCAGCCCACTGACATTTTTCTGGGTCCTCCTTAAAAGCAATTAGCAGCTTCCCCCTTTAACTTCAGAGGGCAAATTCATCATGGAATAACTTTCCTGCAGTCGGTACAATTAGCAGGAATGCGTTTGACCCCAGCTTCACCTTTTCCGAAATGCAGTTCCTGGTACAAAGTGTTGCAGGGATCTTGAGAGTGACATGTTATGAGTAACTGGATGTCAGGATCATTGTGAGAAAACAAACAAATCTCCAAATAACTGGAAAGTCCTGAACCAGAAACTGGCATAATAAAAGTAGAAATAATTGCTATCTTCCCCTTGTTGCTTCTCCTTTCTCATAATACAAAACCCGTGCAATGTACCACAGCCCTCACCCCAAACATGTTCCGTTACCTATCATATCTTATCACTGCCAAAAGTTGTGGTTTTATGGCTGCTGCATCGCGGAAATGTAAATATCAACTTTCACAGAGACAATGACTGAAACACTTCTCAGTGCCATGAAGAAAGGGAACCTTTTGTTTAATTCATA